CGTGGGTAAAAGGGGGAGCTTGTGGCGAGCTCGTGGGTAAAAGGGGGAGTTCGTGGCGAGCTCGGGTTAAACTGGGGAGCTCGTGGCGAACTGGGGGGGTAAACTCGGGAGCTCGTGGCGAACTCAGGGTTAAACTGGTAAACCCAGCCCTCTATAGGGTGGACACCAAAGTTTCATAATTTTTTTAAAAATATCTATTTGATTCAAAATTGAACAATTCAATGAATTTTATATATACAATGTAGAAAGCCTTTCTTGTGAAAGATTAGAACGATTATAAATGAAGTTTTCTTAACAAAATTGTATTTTGTATTTTTCATATACGGTAACGCATGTTATGGGTGGACACCAAAGAATTTTTAGAATTTCAAACATGTGCTGTTTTTTTAACTATAACATTTTAAGCTTCATCTTTTTTTAATTGATTTGATCCATTGAGTTCTTCCAAGAAATAAACTGGGAATTGTCAAAGTTGTTCATATAATGTGCATTCATCATGCAGAAGCACCAAATGGAACGCGTGTTGCATGGTGGACACCATGCATAACAACTGTACAAGATGTGAAATATGGTGATTATGAAAAAACTTTGCCACGCAACCTAAGGTTATTAATGACATGAGCATAAATAGATTCAGCGCTTACTACCAGACAATAATTGAACATCAGATAGTCATACAAATTTAGAGAATACTCATTACCAGGAACTAGGTTTTTTCATGTCACGTTTTGGTTTACGTCCTAAAAAGGGCAAAAAATGGGTTTCACCTTACATAAAAATTTAAACCCAGGGTTTTGAAACACAATGTTATTTAAGTTATCTCCACTACATATCTGCATTAAGACATGGACAAAATTATCACCATAGAATATACTCTTTTATTTTTATACTTGGATCTGAAATATCCATGGTGAAATCTCTCCAGTATCATAAAAATACACATATGCAATTACATTGAAAGTTCAGAAAATTTATGTTGAAATTGAAACAATAGCTTTTTCATGCTGAAGTAACCTGTCAAATTTCTTGTAAATTTAATTAAATTCTTTTGAAACTTTGAAACATTTATTTGCAGCATACCAGATTGGGAAGGGGGGGGGGTGCCATTTATTCTGACTGTATCATATATTTAACACCCTGAAATGTCACTATCAGGTATTACATAAGACCACACACCCAGTGCTTGATTCGAGGTCAACTCCCTGTTTCTATCTTGCTCTCTCCTTATGTACATAGGATCCCCCCTGCTTAGACACAAATCCCTATTCCTCTCTTCTCCCCTCTCTCACTTTCTTGTGTACTCTCTCTTGTGGAATTACCACTGGTAGCATTCCTGATAAGAATGAATTGATTTAGGCCCATTTGGTCAAGTCTTTTTCTATCTTGCTGTTGTGGAGAGCAGACATGGGTTTTGAATGGTATTGCAGCTCCTTTGTTTTAGGTAAGAGAAAAACTAATTTCTCACACCTTTTAACTAAATGTTCTATTGTGTATTTATAATAAGACTAGGCCAACAGTTAGGCCTACCTCTCTTATACATTTATGAAAGAGAAGTGTAGAGTAATGATTAATGAGATAATGTATTCATTCTCTTTCTAGTGAGATATCTTTTCATATATTGGGAATTTTGTTTATCTATCTAGCACATAGTATATTCACTTCAATAAAGTAACATTAGATATCTATGTGATAAAGTTATATTCATGTAAACATTTCTGTATCTTGAATGACAAACCCTACCTTTTAGGCAACATGAGAGCACAAGAATGCATTTGGTCTGAATACTGAAAACTAGTTTGCTAGCAGATAATAAAGAAGGGATTGTTCTAGAGATCCTATAGTGTACATGCATCATTACTTGGTACCCTGGGTTGGTGAATACACTGACAAAAAGGGGGGATGCTACATAGTTATTGTATGAATACCGCTTTATTAGTTTGGATCTTTGTAATATTATGAGTGATTAGAATGATGGATAAATAATTACCAAAATGGATAATAATATTTCTTCAAAGGCAGAGTATTATACAGTGTAATTACTCACATATTTAATTTCATTATACAGTGTAATTATATAATTTGGAAATCATTTATTCATTCATATTGTTGTGTGAAGTTGTGAACCCTGCATACAGGTAACATGCATTATACAGGGTTTGTATTGACTCTAATAAAGAGCTACTTGTTTTAAGTTACATTTTATGTTAAATCTTTTCTTTCTGTTCTTTGATATATTAGTGATTTAATTGATTGATATCCCAGAAGTAATGAGCTTTTAAATTGCCCTAAGAGTATCACTGTATTCTTCACCAGCTAGCCAACTGAATTGCCCTTGCATGGCCAGCCTGCAGATGTTACCAGGATATTGAAAGGCTGATAAGTTAGATAAATATATATATATGCTTGCCAATAGCTCAACAGGATCATCAAATTCACCTCTATTATGTAGACACAAATTTGTTGTCAATGCCAACCTGCTGTTAAGCACGCCATTATAAAGCGTGCAGCCATTTTTTCCACGAGATTGTCGACGAACTCGCCGACGAGCTCGTCGACGAACTTGTTGACAAACTCGCCGACGAACTCGTTGACGAACTCGCCGACGAACTCGTTGACGAACTCGCCGACGAGCTCGCCAACCAGCTTATTGGCCAGTGACGAGCGTGTATATTTCGAGCACGCCAACGAGCTCGCCAACGAGCACGCCAACGAGTTCGTAGCTTATTTGCATATTTGGAACGAAACGAGCTCGCTGGCGAGTTCGTCTGCTTGCTCGTCAACGAACTCGGTGGCGAGCACGCTGACGAGCTCGCGTGTAAGCGTACTGAAATTGAAAAAAAGACATGAGATTGTAATTCCCCTCGAATTTGTATAACAAAATGTAATCAAGGTTATATAATATAGCAGATATTAACTGGATGGGGGTGTATTATACAAATTTGGACTGCAGGGGGGGGGGGGGGGTATTTTTTTCTCCATCAGCACTGTATGCTTTGGCAATATATAACTCCCTACAGTGGTCCAAAGAATGTTACACATCCTACCAGTCAATATCTTAATATACCATACTGCCGTCTCCAATTTCCATGTGTTTGTGTCTGAATATCTAGTTCTTTAATTCTTTTAGAAAAGGAAATGTGTTCTGTGTAAATAATTTAATGACTGATTGATTAAATCACATTTATTTGATTTTTAGCTACTTGTACATATAACACCATGGAAAGATGTAATTAGGGATACCGGTAATGTCATTTTTATTGTCAGAAGGAAACAATTAAACTCTCAATATTTGCTTAATGTGTGATTGCTTAAATGTGTTATTCATTTAAGGAAGTAGAGAGAAAATAATTTCTTGTCGGTTACCTGCGTAATATAATACTCCTGTAAAAATAGCTTGCCCTAATTTTTGTGTATTTCCGGGGCTGAATTTCCACACTTTGCATCTTAAAGATAAACTTGAGTTCTGGTAATGCGATTGCATTGTGAAAGAAAAGGTGTGGAATGGATCAGAAAAGTTGATCATATAGCATGTAAGTAATGGTGTGTAATGCGAGGTTCTGGAGTCATCAAAATCATCATAAATTTGGCAGAGTCTTGGTAAAGTAACAATCACTTACACAGAAAGATGTATATGGGACAACACAAATGGTGTCGGGGCTAGTACTACCCCGATTTCCTTATCTTTCTATGCTCATTACTCAGCCAGTATACATTTTCTTCCAAAATTGTTTGACACATGACATTTATTTGTAATCTTGAACATTCAGTGTAATTTTCGTTAGATTCTGTGAGAATTCATTTTCTTTTTTTACCAGAACTCAAGTTTATCTTCAATGTCAGGTCGCACCCGGCATATATTAATTTATGTATGAATCACTGCAAGTCTACTTTGATTAATGTTACATGGTTTTGTTTCATCTCGACATGTATGTGAGAACAATTCACAGCCTGATATTTACTCTTTGATTCTTAATCTATTCTATATGCTTCTAAATATTATGTACGCTACCAGTATGTTGAGTGTTGTTTGAAAATTCTTATTAGGAATTTTTATTCCATGTTACACAATTGTTTTTGTTATAAAACACTTTCACTCCCAATTATACTTTTGTTCGTTTATCAATTGTTGTACTTTGTGAAGATAGTCTCGATATACCGGTATATATTTTAAATGTATTTTCCCGTTTTGTTTGTATTATCTGTATGCATGTATTTTCTCATTTATAATGGAAGCTTGTTTTGTTATCTAAATTTGCTTTATGTAGATTGTTTCAATTTTCTTTAGGATCCCCATACAGGTATAGACATGCATATAATAATAATAATGATAATAATCTTTTAAAGTCCACTCCAAATTTTATAAAGTTAAACCAAAAATGGAAATTCTTTTTGCCCAATTGATCGTGAGCCCGGCAGCCACTGAGCAGCGCCAGACCGACGTTGCTATATCCCTTATTGTGGAGCGCCAAACAAGGTAGCAGCAACTCCCGCCTTTTAACGTCTTTTGGTATGACGCAGCTGGGGTTCGAACCCACGACCTCCCGGTTGTGAGGCGGACGCTCTATTGACTGAGCCAACACACCGGTTGCATGTAGTCCATATATATCTTTCCCATGCAACATTTATTTATACTCTTTAAACTATGATAAACACATATGTATTTCATTATCATTTATATTTGTTGATGACAGGATTGAAGTAGATGAAATATGAAATTGGGCAACACATTCTTGAAAACACAGAATGCGAAATAACTTTAGATTAAGATTATAGGGAATGCAAGTTGTCATATTAAAAATGTTCAGGGCACAGAGTTAGGTAATAAGAAAAGATCAAAAGAAAGAACAATAAAGAATTAAATGATGCCAAGAAAATACATCAAAGAAGAAAAGAGAGGAGGGGGATATGTTGTTCAATGAAATTAAATAAAAAAAGTAATAAAGCAAAGTAACTCTAGCTAACCTCAGTGTTTCTTTCCTCTTTCTCTTTTTGATCTATAGAGGGAGACAGAGCGCTTCCTTCATTACCTGGAGACAGGTAAGTAAACTTTCATATATTTTTTTCAACTTACTGCCAACTTTTAGGCGAGCTTGTCTTTCTTTTCCATCTCTACCTTGAAGAGGCATAGACCGTTGAAATGAAAGACAGCTGATGAAAGACAGCCTCTCTGAAGTGCAAGGAAGTAGGATGCCATGTTTTAAACCGTGCTACATGTTTTCTGTTGGCCATCTATCATCGTACATGGCACGTGTATTGGCTTCCCTTAGTATTGCTTTCTCAGTTCACAGCATACCCAGTCTTTAACAGTGCACATGTTAAAAAATCCACTTTCTCTCTTGTTTATCAAGAAATTAGGATGCTGTCTTAATAGGAGGCGCGATAGCTCAGTCGGTAGAGCAGTGGTCTCGTAATCCGGTGACCCGGGTTCGAAACCTAGGCGATGCGCTAGTGCCCTATGGTAAGGCATTAATCCTCATTACCAGGTCCCTCGGAGAGGACCTTAAGCCGTCGGCCGTCTGGTTGCTTACTAACAAGCATTTATGCTTTCTTAGCAGTCAGGTAAAATAACCACCACCACCACATTATTAAACACAATGATTAGTAGAAAATGTTTCCTGCAAGTTAGCTTCCATCTTGTAGAGTATCCCTTGGCCTCTCCAACTTTTGCTGTCTTTCAAGTCTTGCAAAACTGCAATAGAACTGTTCAGTAGTTATACATGTGCCCTAACATCCAGACTATAGTAATCAGGAAGTTGGGATGCAGTCTTGAGGATGCTGGAACAAGTTCCCCCCAAAATACCCGTCATCTTGTACAGCATATGTTTGGCCCCTTCGAGTGTCACTATCTTAGTTACCTTAAATGCAGTACTAGGTCATGAGCAGCACACATCCAGACTCTGCCTCAATCAGAGATGAAAACAAAATATAGGATGCATTATTGAGGGTAGTGGAACATGTTTCCGGCGAGTTATATTTCATCTTGTGCAGTCTGGGGCTCTACAACTATCTTTCTAACTGCAGTAGAACCAGGCTATATAAGCACTACACATGCTGAAACATCCACTCTCTGCCATAAAAATTGCTATCTTTAATCAGGGCTCGACTCCAACAGGGGCCCAGGACACATGGGCACCCACAATCTCAGTCTTGATCCCCAGAATTTCTACAATTTGACATATGGCCTGTGCAAACAGACTCTAAAATTTAAATTCCTGACCCCTTCGGGAAAAGTTAGTTTGGAGCCCTGCTTTCAGTCCCCTGACTGAAAAACATGCCCATTGAATTGAGACTCTCTCTTTCAATAAGTGAGTTTCATTTAGGACGTAGTCCTGGCAGGGAGAACATGTTTCCTGCAAGTTATCTTTCATGTTGTACAGTCTAGGCCTCTCCATCTTTTACATAAAATGCTGCCTCCTCATGCTCTTAATCTCTCATCGCATTCACACAATTCAAAACAACAACCCTGAAAATGATGTCATGATTTCTCAGGCTGCTTTTATACTGGAGCATCATCTACACTACAGCAAAGGTTCTGGAACTTTGGCTTTCTAAAACGTACATCCGCAGTGCAGACAGATTGGTTTGAACTTGGTTTATAGGACCAGTGGTTGGTAACTGACAGTATTTTGGCATCAACTTGGACTGCCTCTATTCTCTCTCTCTCTCTCTCTTTTATTTCTTTCTTCCTCCCTCTCTCTTTTTCTTTCTTCCTCCCTCTCTGTCTCTCTGTCTCTCTCTAGCTTTCTTTCTTATTCCCTCTCTTCTCTCCCTCCCTCTTCCCCTCTTTCCCTTACTCCCCTCTCTTTTTCTCTCTCCCCTCTCTCTCTCCCTCTCTTTCTCTCTCTCTCTCTCTCTCTCTATTTCTTTCTTCCTCCCTATCTTTCTTTCTTCCTCCCTCTCTGTCTCTCTCTAGCTTTCTTTCTTATTCCCTCTCTTCTCTCCCTCCCTCTTCCCCTCTTCCCCTTACTCCTCCCCTCTCTTTTTCTCTCTCCCCCTCTCTCTCTCTCCCTCTCTCTCTCTCTCTCTCTCTCTCCCTCTCTCTCTCCCTCCCTCCCTCCTCCCCCTCTCTCTCTCTCTCTCTCTCTCCCACCCCCATCAGGCCATGAGTCACCAGCAAACTATTCTGATGAAAACTTTTTTTGGGGGGAAACCTATTAAAGCCTTGCTAATAGTCTCGATGGTGTATTGTCATCCTGTTGAAATACCAGATTTAGAAACCGAGAGTGACATTCGTGACCTGTGGTTGAAGCTATTACTTCCTATCCATATTTCATCTGAATTTCATTGATTTAATGGACCTCAAATGCTGACAGCTCAACAAGGTTAATATATTTTTTTTTATTGTATAGGAAAACAAATTTGAAGAAAGTTTTGTAGATTTCATCCTGTTCTCCTTCTGTTATTATGTTGCAGCTTCTGATGTTATCTCAATTTAGAAGAGCTAAATAATTTTTAGAACTTAAAGATAAAGTTGAGTTCTGGTCATGTGATTGCATTGTGAACGAAAAGATGTGCAATGGATCAGAAACAGTTGATCATGTAGCAATAAAGTATCGGTGTGTACTGCAAGGTTCTGGAGTCATCAAAATCATAATAAATTGGGCCCAGTCTTGGTAAAGTAACAAGCACTGTACACAAATGGTTTCGGGGCCCGACATTTTGATTTCCTTATCTTTCTATGCTCATTACTCAGTCATACATTTTCTACCAAAATTGTTTGGCAAATGACATTGATTTGTAATCTTAAACATTCAGTGTAAGTTTTGTTTGATTCTGTGAGAATTTATTATCTTTTTTTTTTTTAACCAGAACTGAAGTTTATCTTTAAGTTTAGATATAATAAGTTGATGCAAATCTTGCTCTCATCTCATCTCCCAGTAAACACTGATTTCCCCATAATAATGCTAATTAGTCATTTGTTTAATGTTCAGAAAAGTTCCAAAAGTAGCTCACTGCCCCTTAAACTTAGCCATATGAAAAGTAACCACAAAGACTCATCGTCATTGTTACATCGCTTAATAAGGTGATGCTATGGATACAAGCTATATTAAGCTCTCTCTCACATGACCCCATTAACTAGTGTGTAGGTGTGGGACTGTGGGTTGTATTTATTAATTATGAAATGCACAAAACACGTCAGTCAATTAAGAGCACGTTAATAGCATTGCCACTCACGGTAATCCATTGTCGAAAATGTTTTTCTACCGAAAGATCAATGACTCGCTCCTTTCGTTCCCTTTCTTGTGATATGTTTAATTGTTGTAGAGATTGTAGGCGTCATTATGTGGGTAATTCATTCTTCCCTTTTGTTTTTCTTCACATGTACATTAAAGACGTTTTTAAAGCCCCACTGCACTACTTATAGCTACTTGCGCCCTCTATATAGCAAACGATGCCTAATCAATGACGATTGGTTCCCCATGATCCACTTTATCGTATGTTCATTGAGAGCTTATTTGATAAGATAACCACCTGTCAGCGACCATGCAGGGAGGTCTAATCCCTCCTGGCCAAAATTGGATACCACAGTATTTTCGTTTTGTTGCGGTTATTAGATTCTATCGCTAAGGAGACACGATGGCTCGGTGATAGAGTAGTGGTCTTTTAACTGGGACGTCCAACCAAGTCGATACACTAGTGCCCTTCGGTAAGGCAGTAATCCTCATTACCAAGTCCCTCGGAGAGGACTTAAAGCCGTTGGTCCCCCGGTTGCTTTAATACCTAAAAGCATACACACATGCTTTCTTAGCAGTCAGATAAATGAACATAAAAAAAAAACATACCAGATTTCAAAGTGCAGATTTTGCAGAATTATCTTCTTCAGTCTCCCTCTATAACATTTCAAGAAGACACAGGATGTGTGATGTGAACAGGGCTCGAGTAGTCTGCATGTACAGGCTCTATTTCAACACTAAATGCAATGCCATAATTCCATGCACCTACCCTAGTTTGTTAGTCTCTATTTCAGGAGTATTTATAGTACAGAACTTATTGAGTGCAGTAGACTGTGAAGTCTTTTTAGTCTTAAAGTTCAGACACTGTTAGACTTCATACATATCATTGAAAAGGGTCTGTACCTGTTGGGCAAGTCTGGAGGGGCAGGTCTTTGGTAGGGGGAAGGGGGTAAAACAGGGGAACAGATAAAGACAGTAGTTCCCAGGAGCCTGAAATGGGGCCAAGTCCTTGTACCTGACAGTATTTAATTTGAGGGAAATACCCCTACCCCAAAGGAGCTAGTTGTTCTAGGAGTACCCAGGGTAAAGTAAGAATGGGTTGAATCAGAATTCATGACTCATATCTTTAAGATTATGTTTTCCCCCCTTTTGTTCTGACGAGTGACAGGGTTACAATACATAAAAGAGTGACTGTCTTCAAGTCATCCAATGGGTTTAAAGGTTAGCAGCTATCACAGAAGAAAACAAATTAACATAACTTTTGGGATGTTTACAAGTTTCTGGGGTGTTCATCCAGAGTTTAACTGGAAGATTAATTTTAGCAAAAAGTACACCGGTATATGTTTTATTCAACGTCATTGGGGATGGATAAAGATCATGTATGCGTGTAGCAATTCTACAACACACCTCTGTTATTTTGATGGTAGGACTACTGTAGGTTGTATTAAAAAAAAACAAATGTGTTACAGCATGATGAATAATAGATTATTCGTCATTGGACAAATCAATCATCATATTTCATGAACCTTTATGAGACATTAAAAGGGATGCACTCTCGGTAATTTAGGGATCGTTTGTTAAGCGATTCTCTGGGCTAACCGGTCTTGGGGTGTATTGATGGGACCCCCTGGTGTTCAGTCATCAAGGTAATTGTTTTGATCGGGAGACTTCTAATCGCTCCTAAGATCCCACTTCCTCTTTATGGATGGGTTGAACAGTGTATTATCGGCTGTGTTCACACGGAAACGTCACAGCTTTAGACTTTAATCTTGTAATACCTCAATGTTTAAAACAACAATCCACTGATGATAAAGATTCGCACAGGACTGAAACAATGAGTATTCAGCGTTTCAAACTACAACT